GGCTGGAAGGGCCTCCTGGGAGGAGACCTTCACGGCCTCTGCTCACCTCTGGTTCCTGTCACCGTGGCTGTGCCTAATACCCTCTAACAGCTGTCTGGACAGACACCCCTCCGCAAGACTTGCTCACAGCAAGAAGTCAGGACACGGCTGGCCTGAAGTCCCCCCTCTTCCAGCCAAGTTCGTAGGAGGTGCTGTCCCTGCCACCCCAATGTCCAGCTCCTGGGCCTGGGCTTGTTTGGCTCTGTGGAGGGGGGTGGGGAACAGGGAAGAGACCAGAGTCACAGAGCCACCTGTGACTCTACCATTAAAGGTCAGGGCTTCCATGTTTCTGGCTAAGAAACCACATCATGTTGGATGTCCCAACCGGGAAGAGGCAGAGCTGGGATTCAAACCCAGGTCTGCCTGATTCCCAGGCTCTGCACAGTCTTTCACTACAGATGGTCTGACCCTGAGCCACACCCCTTCCTCCATACCAAGGGCTGGCATATGAATCAGGGAAAACAAAAGTAATGGGATGTTTACACAGAGAAAGAAATTTAACAAGGCATTGGCTCATGTGGTTATGGAGGCTGCCAAGGGCAAAAGCTGCAGGGTTAGCCAGCACCCTAAAGACTCGAGGAGAGGCCCTGTTGCAGTCTGAGTCTGAAGGCTGCCTTCTGACAGAATTCTCCCTTGCCGGAGGAAGTCAGTCTCCACTCTATTGGGGCCATCAACTAATTAGATGAGGCCCACCCTCAGCGTTATAAAAGGTAAACTGCTTTACTCAAAGTCTGCTGATTTCAAAGTTAATTGCATCTAAGAATGCCCTCACGGAAACATCCAGAATAGCGTCTGACCACACATCTGGGCACCACAGCCCGACCAGGTTGACAGATAACATCGCCGTTGGCAAATTCTTTCTATAAAAGGCCAGAGAGTCAACAGGGAGAGTCTGTGGCCACACGGTCTCTGTTGCAGTTCCCCGGCTCGGCCGTCATCACACAAAGGCAGCCACAGACGGTCTGTAAGTGAGCAGGTGTGGCTGTGTTCCAATAAAACTTTATTTACAAAAGCAGGCAGTGGGCGGGGTTTGGCCCACAGGCTGTCTCGAAACCACACGACAGGGCAGGAGCAGCATGAACTTCTGACCGTGACCCTGCATTTCTCTAACTTCAACACCACGTCTGTATTTTCATTTCTCAGCTTGCTTTCACAGTTCTTAAAAAAATTAATGTAGGGCTCAAATCAGATCATCAGCAGTCAATTAACAGTAAATCTCAGGCCCTCATACATGGTAAAAAAAAACAATGACGAACACAAGCCTCACAAAGATGTGTTTTAATTAAAAACTATAAAGAAGGAAGGCCATTAAAGAAATCCACAACAAACGTTAACGGAAACCCAAAAGTAAACAGGCCAGGACAATAACATTAATTCCAGCACTGCTGATCCGAATTACAGCCGAGTCCCTGGTCACAAGCAGCACGAGAGACCCTGGAGTCCTGGCTGTTGCTCTGGATTTAGCAGAATATCCTGTGTGGCTCTGTCTTGCTTCCCATTTTCTGCAGAGAGAAAGCTCTGACGGGGATGAAAAGCCAAATTTATGAACCATCTCATAGCGTTTAAGCAGCTCCTTGAGGCTTTGTTGTATGCTAACACGCTGGACCTCAATCCTTGACGGAACGGAGTTCACGGTCAGGGGATTAACGAGTGCCCCGTCGCGTCTGAGAAGAAAGGCTCCCGGAGCGCGGGCTTGCCCCTGGGAAGCAGGGCCGGCTGTACCCCCACAGCTTCCAGAAGGCGTGACGATGAGGCGGCCCTCGCTGGAGACGGTGCGGTGACGGTGCAATGAGGATACCGGCCCAGGGACGCTGACCGCCTTGCCCGAGGCCACACGTCACGTCTGCAGGGGCCTGGCCCCCCTCTGAATGCCCCAGTTTCCTAAGCTAACGTTGCTGCTCAGGGCCCGGCGGATCCGGACCAAAGTTGGGGTGTGAACTTCCGCTCGAGCCGTGGCCGCGTGAATCGAGTTCCAACTCCACAACCAGCAGATTTTTCCCCAGCTCCGAAATCAACGAGAGGCCACCACAACCAGACCCTTGATGGGTGTGATGCTTCACAGCCGCCCTCATCTCCCTTGCAACCCTGGGGGCTCCCTGATGATCATGCGGGTGTCCCAGAAGGGAGGCGAGGCCCAAAGAGGTCTAGCAATTTGCCTGAGGTCACACAGCCTGCAGCAGCGGTCTGGCTCCAAAATCCATGCTCTCTCTGCTCCACTTCTACCACCTTGTATCAGTGAAAAGCCAAAAACCACGGGTTCAGGAAGACAAAGGCGACTCCCCCGGGTGACAGCACCCCACCACCGCCACGGGGTGCTGGGAAGAACTGGCTTTCAGTGCGAGGTAAGGACCACGGCCACAGATTCGTAGCTGTACCGAGCGCTCCCAATCTCAGAGTGAGCCTACCCAAGACAGGGATCGAACGACTGAGGGAGGAGGGGGCCGATCTCCAAGGGGGCAATACTCATCCTATGGCCGGTTTCGAGCTACTAACAAGATAACGACCAGCTCACAACACTAAAGGCCGAGTAACTGGCTCTCGTGAGCTATTAGGAGCGGCTTCAGAATGTGATCGGGTGAGACCCACCTCCTGGGGTAAAATACGTTAGGGCCACGGGGTTTCCAGGGGCTTCCGCAGAGAGGGGGACCGGGCAGAGACCATGAATGGCCAGCTGCCAGAATGCTGGAGGACCCAGGGGTCAGACCACGACCCCCCGGTTCCTCTGTAAGTCCACCCGTCCCCAGTCTGTGCTCTGGAGGGAACTGAGCACCAAGACTGCATAGGGAGCACTGTTTTCCATCCGTTCCCCATTTCTGGGCTCCCCTGCCCTGGTGTCCCTCCATGCTGGCTTCTGCCCAACTGCACCTGCGACTCTCTTAGGAAGATGCCCTCCGCACCCCCAAAGAGAGGGGGCAGTGCCTGGGAGTGCTGATGACCACCCCCCACCCCAGGCCCATAGCAGTAATGGCTGCCTTACCCCCACTGAGAACAATCCATCAGGATCAGCCTGAAACGACCTTCATCTGAAATCACGCCCTGCCTCCCCCATGCCCCACCTAGCCTCCCCTGGGAGCACCTCCTTAATAAGTCGCTTACACTCCTGTCCCGGCTCAGGGCTTCTAGGGAAACCCCCCCACCTCACTCCCGCCAAGAGCCTGGATTCTCACGACCTCAGGCCTACCTCAGAGACTTTCCAGCACCTTCCAGCCAGTGTGATCTTGGGGTGGAGGCTGGGCCAGCTTCTACTGACACTTCTCCCGCAGCCTGCTCTCTGCTGTCTCCCCCATCCACGCCCCTCCCCCCCCCCACACACACACCAGGTCTCAGTCTCCCCTTCCATCCCCGCCCCCTCTGAGCCAGCCTCCAGCAGCGGCCCGTGAGTGAGCATAAGTCGGAGGAGGTCCCCGCCCTGCCTTCCACTGGCCACACATCACCATCGGGAGGATCCGGGCCAGCGCCCGGGCCGACACACGTTTTTATTTCTGCAGCAAAACATACCAAAATTCACACTAAAGGCATAAATACAGACTGTAAGTCAACTCGAGACGTCAATTTAAGTCAGGTTTTGCTGCCTAACAAGTCACGCAAAAGTCTTCTGGCTTTTGGAGCTTTGGGACGTGAGATCATCGAATGGTTTTTGTTGGGCAGTTCTATCCTATTTCCCCGTGAAGGGGAGAGCTGGACCGGAGGCCTGGGGCGGCTTTCCCATTTCTAGATGCCAGCAAATCCCCTTCCAAATGGTCGCTCTCATTTTTGCTTCCCAGGGCGGTGCGTGCGCAACTCCGCTTCTCCACCCTCCCTCCGCTCGGATACGTGAGACTTGGAAAATTTTGCACGTCGGAGGGCTTTGAAAGGGTCCTGCCTCATTCCCCCATTCATTCGTTGAGACCCAGCAGGACGGCAGCCGCCGAGCCTCCCCTGGATGAGGATGAGCCGGCCGGCCCTCCTTAGGGCCCCGCTCCAGACCCCCTCTTCCTGGCTGCGGCCAATCCGTCGACAGGTGGGCCTCCGCCACGCGGCCGAGAGGCCCCTGGGCTCCGAATCCAGGCCCTGGGTTCAACCACGGACACAGTCATCGTAACAGCTAATTCGACTGTACTTACTCTGGTTCTTGCCTAATCATTTCACTTGAATGAACTGGTTCATCCTCGACATGCTTATGTGGTAGTGTCCTAGCCCTTTCAGGCTGTTGTAACAAAAATACCATAGACGGGGTAGCTTATATGCAATGAACAATTCTCGCAGTTCTGGAGGGTGGGAGGTCCGAGAGGGCACCAGAAAACTCGGTGTGCGGTGCGGGCCCGTATCCTTGGCCGTCTCTTCACTAGGACATCACATGGTGCAAGAGACGAGCTCACTCTCTGGGGTCTCTTCGTGAGACAATGTTCCTAATCGTGAGGGCTCTGCCCACATGACCTCATCGCCTCCCAAAGGCCTCACCTCCTAATACACCACCTTGGGGGTCAGGATCCCATATGTGGATTCTGGAGGGACACAAACATTAAGACCATAGCAGTAGGTACAATCCTCAACTCCATTTCACACGTCTGACACCCACAGAGGCGAAGTGACGTGCCCAAGGTCACACAGATGGGAGGTGGCCCAGCCGGCATTTGCACTCCGTAGGCTCCAGAGCTTAGGGTCATCATTTTTCTAAGCTGTGCAGTCTCTGGTTACGGAAAAGTACAACAAAACCAACCGCGAGAGCGAGTCTCCCTGACACGCTTCCCTCTCCCCACCTGCTGTCCTGACTGGTGGCAACCACCATGAACAGTTTCGAGCGCACCATCCTGCCAGAAATATTGTATGAACAGCAATCCTGAAATATCCCATTTCATTAGCCTGGGTGTCCCAGATCTCCCACTACCCCGCACCTTGCCCGTGTCACCTAAAGAATCTTAGACGCTGTCCCACATCCGGGTGCATCGGGCCGCCTCATGCTTTCCATCGCGGAGCCTTACCAGCCTCTGGGACAGTTCGTCGGGCCAGTCCCCTACTGATGGCCATCACGGTTACTTCGCCCTTTGGTGTCACCACCAATTATACGGTGCACCTCGTGGGCCGGCGTCATTTCTCACTTAACGTGAGCGTCTTTAGTAGACAATGGTCACAAGTGGGCTTCCCGAGTCCAGAATTGTCATCATTCGGAGTTCCTGCTTCCCCTGCGCCCTGGCCACCACGTGCACGATCAGGCGTCTGGTCCTTGCCTATATGACCCATGGAAACGGTACCTCGTTTTAACTCGTAATCCTCTCACCAGTGTCTCTTTGCTCTTTCCTCACTCACCGCACTCCCTATCAATCCATGAAGTCAAATCTCCTGTTTGGCCAGTTTTCTTGAAATATTGCTTTACTTAGTCATTTCCGCTCCCGTCTTCAGGGACCCCAGTTGCGAGTATGTTGGGTCTCCTCTGTCTCCTGGGTCACTTGTTTTCTCCGCCTTTATTTATATTAATCTGCCTTGCTTTTCCCAGCCCCGCCCTCCGGATCTCCCAGTGTGTCCCTGTACTTCCCGTTGGAAAAATTCCATGGTGGACTTTGGCTTTCAGGAGGCTGCATTTTTCAGTCCATCTGTCTTACGGGGCTCCGCCGTGTCGCCTCGTCTCCGGAGCTCTGGCACCCCTGCATCACATTCTTGTTTTACAGATGCGACCGCCTCCCGTGCTTCTCCCCTAACCAAGACTTTCTGCACTGCTCAAATGGTCCTCCGCCTGGTGGCAACTTTTTTTCTCCTGCACATTCTTCACCCCTTACTTTCTTGGCTCTTTAGAGTAATTTAGCACGGAGTCGGTGCTGGGTTTTCCTGGTTATTAATTGTCTTTGCATGAGGTGGGTTCTTCCTGAGCCACCAATTTATACAAGACTCGTGAGCAAGACAGCCCCGAAAGCAAGACCGTTCTCATGACACAGGGCAGTGAGTGAGGGTCGGCCCTTTTGGTCTTTACTGTTTTCTGGGCAAAAGCAAAGGCATGGGCCTGCACCCCACACAGAGCCTCTCTCTCCTGCCCTGCCTCCCCGGGAGGCTGCTTCCGGAAAATATGGTGGTTCAGCCCACACTCCCCTGCTTTTCCTTTGTATAAACTAGACTTGGGGGGCGGAGGGGACTCCGTGCCAGCCAAGGCACTCATTCCTGCCGTTCCCCAGAAGGGGTGGCGGGTCTTGTGTTGGGCGTGCACCGCCCAGGGTGTGGAGAATTCTGCTTTCCTGCTCTGCGCTCTGCAGCCCTGGGCGTTTGCTCTCCCTCCGGAGGCCTCCCGAACCCACCTTTGACCCTCACTGGCCCTCCCCACAAATGGGATTCCGGACGCCACGGCTGTGCCCGCGATGAACAACACCCCCACGGGTCCGCTATTGTGTCAGGATCATTTCCAGGAGGAAGAAAGGGAAACACTGTCTTTCCCCTGTCGTTTTAAAGCTGTGAGCTCCCTGAGCCAGGCTGCGGACACAGGTCATTCTGGTTCCAAATCCAGAATGTCTCCCCTGCCCTACAATGACCCCACCCGGGGGGTGGCCCACTTTTTCTGCAAAGACCCAAGACAGGAGACATTTCAGACTTTGCTGGCCACGCTGTCCCTGACACAACTTCTCAGCTCTGCTGTAGCAGGAAAGCAGCCACGCACAATCCCGAAACAAACAGGTGTGGGCTGCTTTCCACCCACCAACAGGGGTTAGTCCAGATTCGGTCCCTGGGCCCCAGCTTACTAATCGCTCACACGGACTCCAAGGCAGAGGTGACAATGGGGTCACAAATGCCTGAGCTGTCCTTGGGAAACTTGACCCACACACGTGCTGTGGCCCAGATGATGCTGGAAAACTCCTCAGTGAACATTTAGAAATGTGCAAGATGTGGGGCGCTTGGGTGGCTCCGCCGGTTAAGCGTCCGACTCGCGATTTCGGCTCACGTCCTGACCTTGCGGTTTGTGGGATGGAGCCCTGCATCAGGCTCTGTGCCGACAGCACAGAGCCTGCTTGGGATTCTCTCTCTCCTCTCTCTCTGCCCCTCCCCTGCTCGTGTTCTCTCTTTCTCTCTCTCTCTAAAAATAAATACACATTAAAAAAGAAAAAGGGGACTTGCAAGATTTGACGTGCAAACTGGAGTTTCTGATTTCTTCTCAGAAACTGTGAGAGCTGGCCACTCTAGAGTCCCCCATGGCCAGGCTCGCCAGCGCGCCACACCGTGTCTCTTTATACGTGCCGTCCTTTGCTCACTGCCCGACCTGCCTGGCATCTTTGGGCATCCACGTTTCATGGTCACCAGAGTGGAGGACGAGGCTCTTGTTCCGTTTCCCCAAAAAAGCTGGTAAAGTGCTAGATGAGCGTGGCCACCAAGACACAGATCTGGAACTGCTCAAAGGGAAACCACATCTGTGGCTTAAGCCTTCCCTCTGTCCTGCTGGCAACAGGGGATCTGAGACATAAGGGCTGGAAAGGCCTCTTGGGGCCATCTGGCCCAACCCCTGTCTTTCAGAGATGGGGAACGACCGCCCAGAGAGGAGCTTGGCTTGACCAGAGCCGGGGAAGCCCCTGAACCAGAGCTCTCATCGAATGTCCCTTCACCCTTCACTTGGCCATCATAAACCCGCCAGGACCCCTTCTTCAAAGCTGAACTCCATCGAGACAAAGAGAGGAAGCAGAGGGAGTCGTGTCTCTTGCCATCTGTCTGCTGTGTTTACTGAAATGTACTTGTAAAGTCTCATAAACATGCCAGGAACTTGGTGCACAAAGAAAGGCATGGCAGCTTCCTGCAGAAATGACAGGTGGTGTCACTCAGCCGTGTGAGCGAGTCTTCGTTGCCACCTCCGCGGTCTGTTCTCCCCTACCTTAGCTCATCAAATCGTCACAACTCTGGGCCGAGATAAAGCACCCCCACTTCTGCGGGAGTGAGCTGCTGACTCCTGGCTCTGTAAGGAACTTTTCTCACTGTTAACAGATCTAAGCACCCTTGCAAGGGGGGATGGGGTGGGGGATGGAAATATCTTAGCTAGTTTCCGTCCTTTTGGTCTGAACCAATCCCCGAGCGGCGTTCCTGTTGGCTTGAGTGCAGTTTTCCTGGGTCTTTCTGGAAGGCAAAGAGAAGTATGCTTCTGCCAGAGCCCTCGCCAAACCTCTCCTTCCTGTCCTGTCTCATCCCATGCGCCTGGACCAACAGTCCTGGTCACGGCCCTGCTACAGCATCTAGCCTAGCCTGAGCTGAATTCCGCCTGCCATCCAACACTCAGTTCTGCTGCGACCGTGGCTTTTGCGAAGCAGAGTGGGTCATACGTGATTCTCAAACACGAGGATGATGTTAGAAGGTGGGAAAGTCAGGTTGGCTCAGGCACGACTTTTCTCGGTGTATTAATGTATTGTGCCAGCCAGTGCAAGCAGCTGAAGACAAAAAAACAGTAACAGCTCAATGCAGAAAGCTGCCAAGAAGACGGCACAGGAAACCAGGCCCATTCACTCGCTTCTTCTTGGCCCAGTCTGGAAGTTGTTTGATGCACAACTCCCTCTTCTGTACATGGGACTTGTCTCCCTTTGCACATCAAACAACCTTAACTTTTTTTTTTTTTTTTTTGCAAGAGAAAAATTATATAATTGCTGGGATATTTATTTATTAGGAATTTAACATGTTGTTTGTTTTTTTTAACTGTGCTAGATTTTTAGAGGCTTGTTACTACATTTGTTAGTGTTCTGGTCCAACTCGGCCTAGGTTTCCATTGCTCTGCTCCCAGCCTTATTCTCCCCATCAGCCTGGTGTTAGCATGTGATTTTCCCGGTTGAGAGATTTCTCAGGAACGTATATATTCTGCTCGAGCAGAGACACCCACGCTTATCTTTACAGTTGCTTTTTATTTTTGGCCTGATCTGCTCGTTTTCCACTTAGAGTAGAGGGCCAGTTTTTAAAGAAAAATGTTAAGTTTTTAAAAAAAAAATTTTTTTTTTAATGTTTATTTATTTTTGAAAGAGAAAGACAGACCATGACCGGGGGAGAGGCAGAGAGAGAATGAGACACAGAATCCGAAGCAGGCGCCAGGCTCTGAGCTGTCAGCACAGAGCCCGACGTGGGGCTCGAACCCGTGAACTGTGAGACTGTGACCTGAGTCGGACACTCAACCGACTGAGCCCCCCAGGTGCCCCAAGAAAAACAGTGAGTTAATAACACCACGGGTGGTATAGAGGTGGTCCCTGACCCACTATCGTTTACGGGGTTGAAATGTAACGTAGCATGGACACAGCAAAAACATAGGGACAAGATCAATTACGGGACCTCAGAACACACAGGACAGGAAAATGACATCCGGACAAAGGATCCTCTCACACGGAATCCCTGAACAGCACTAGGGATGTGGGAAGGAAGAACTCAGTCGACGATGTTTGTTACTATTATTGCCGTTACCTATTTATAGAAAAAGCAAGAATGAAATAGGCAAATGAAATAGGCAAATATAGAAAAAGCAAGAATGAAATCCTAAATAAATAGGATGTTTCCCCTCCGAAACCAGGCAGAAGGGCCCATCGTGACATTCATTAGCAACAGCAAAAGCACTTCAAATAAATTTGCTTTTCCGTTAACCCTGCATAAGCGCGGGTTTCCCAGTATCAGCAGAAATTACTAATTACTCTAGTCTGAAGCTCCGAAAGATAAAGAATTAGATTTATTACGAATGCAGGATGTGCGCCTGTGTAGAGATGACGGGCACTGTAGCCTGTGACGTGCACTGATTTACGGCACCACATTCACACTGTGCTGCTTTTCCGGTTTCTAATGCTCTAAATGAGATATGGATTCAGAGGAAAATTAGAAACCTAACATTGGCATGGTTCAAAATAGTTCGTTTCCATCCCAGAAGAGCAGAGATGAAATTTTCTTCTAAATTAGGGAGGCGTTGGGGTGCCTGGGTGGCTCCGTCAGGTAAGTGTCTGACCTCGGCTCAAGTCACGATCTCACGGGTCGTGGGTTCAAGCCCCGTGTCGGGATCTGTGCTGACCGCTCGGAGCCTGAAGCCTGCTTCGGATTCTGTGTCTCCCTCTCTCTCTGCCCCTCCCCCACTCACACTCTGTCTCCGTCTCTGTCAAAAATAAATAACCATTTAAAAATTTTAAAAAATAATACATAAATAAATTAGGGAGGCATGATGTGGGCTGAGGGATGCTTCTGGTCACAGCCTCACAGCCAGGCCCTGGGACCAGCCCTCTCCCTCTGCCCGGAAAGCCTGCAGGTCTCCCAACTGCCCTCCAGCTTTCAGGCTCCCCCGCCTCATCCCCCCTTCCCTTCAGATCCGGAGAGATCTTTCTACATTGAAACTCTGACTCCATCACACTCCAGCTTAAATACTTTGGTTGGATGGCTATAGCTCCAGGGGCAAGTCCAAACGCACTGGCACATCGTCTGAAAATCCCTGCTAGCCCCGTCCATACTCCAGCCCCATCTTGGCCAGCTTGAGCCTAAGCCATACACTACTACCTATCGTTCTTCATGCACACCGTGCTATTTCACATTCTTTAGGGGGCAACGCCTCCACCCAGCCTGCCC